GCTCATACGGGAAATTACCCTCTGCCTCTAATTGAAGAACATTGAACATTGAACATTTGTTTACTCGGCAAACTGCATGCTACCATACCTACATGGAACCTGATAGCCGATGAAAATGATTTACCTTCATCTTGGTTTTAGATTTGCCAACTGTTTTTGTGTTTCTGCGTGAAATTTACACATCTAGAATCCCACTCAGTATTCACAGACAGAGGTGATGCAAACACGTAGGGGATATTTTATTGCTAATCTGTCTAGTCGCTGCCCAGCTGTACTATTGACAGTTTGGACATCATTATGGGCATTAAAAGCTTCCTTTTTCCACCGATATCTCTGAGAGCTAACTTATTCCTAAACAGAGTCCACTGATTTCCTCATACTATCCTATTGTTTGGCCTTTCCCCGTCCTCGTGTGTTTGTCAAATAGATACGGCCACCAAACAGCCGATTTCAAAAGAACTGGTCACATACGGTTGGCAACTGATTGATCCAGTGAACGACGAGTTGAAGACTCCCTTGAGCGAATCCGAAACTTTGGGCGGTTCAAAAATGCGACTCACCGAACTGCATTTGCCAGACTATCAAAAGGATCACCATATACTGTGGGGTTGGTGTGTTGTAGATGTTCGTTCATCGGACGCACCGAAGGATGCCCCCGTGAAACACTATCGGTCCAAACCTTTCAAGATGGTGGTGCTGCCAAAAGATACCACGGTTTCCGTCTTGCCGAAGGCAATTCGAACACGAGACGGTAAGAAAATATGGATGTGGGATCATAGTGCAGATAAATATTGGATTTTATAGTGTATGATGTGCCTACTTAACTAGTAGGAGCAACAAAACCAGGTATGAGAAGTGGAGAAACTGGAAAATGTTTTGCGCATGGCATAGAATAAGAGTACGCATGGTAATTACGAGTGGAAATGTTATCAACGTCAACCTGGATAAAAAGACTAGCACATTCATTTACGCGTAGGTTTTGCTATTCGGAATGAATCTAACGCGTGATCGCGTGCACAGTCGGTTGACAGTTATAGGAGGAGAGGAGGTTAAAACAGTGTTGGGCAACGTCCGGTACATCCCGAAACACTGCTAAACAGGTCCAACATGCGTGCAGTACACTAGCTAATTAAATAAATTGCCGATTGGGAAACCAGCTCGATCAAAGTCGGAGTATCAAACTCATGTGATTGATTTCAACAGGAAGTTATGAAGCATTGAGAAACATCCTGAAACGTTTATTGCTCGCTTGTTAATTGTCTTATTGTTATTTTATGCATGCTTGAACCAAAATAAGCGATCTGCGTAGGGGTCCGCGGATGAAGCGTGTCTATCTACGACACACGTTTGATCTGATCACTACCAATTGACCTACGTTTCAATTTTTTGTCACAGAAATCTTTGTCAAAGTGGACGGCATTACAAGCGATGGAATGCTCCGAGCCATGGAGGGAGAGACAAAACATATCCAATGCCGAGCGATCGGTGAGTCATCGAACTGTTGTTTGATTTGCCTCGTTCATCTTTTTCTCGAACAAGCGCTTGATGCAAAATTTTACAAGTAAATAAGCTATCCCACATGAAATTCACATTACGTGGTGTGCAGTTAGCAATATGGAATAGTCAATCTTTTTTAAATTAACTTTAGCTTTAGCTAAAGCTTTTTAGGTGTAGATACTTAAGCCAGTGGTAAAAGAAATCTGTGTAGGGCATTCGACTTGTGCGCTATCCGACACAATTCGATTCATTTACCTACAACTATATGTAAATTCAAGTCATCGGTTTCACCGGAATTTGTTTAAACCCTTATTCTTTATCAGACTGTGATCATGACATTCGATCACAATGAAATATAAGCAAATATCACGGCATACGATTTCTGTTCATTTGGATATCTGATTATTGAAACCATTATTGTCTCTCTGATTTGTGCTTTTTCTGCTCTTATTGCATTTTGATTGTGTCCAANGTCCAACGAACCGGTTTTCCAAAATCAATATTGGATGATAGGCATCCCCGCAGCTATTCTCGTTTTATTTGACCTCGTACAAAAGCCAAATGATCATGCATCATTTCCTTGTAGATGCACTAACCGGACATGTGATCGATACCCCGGATATTACTTTCGGATGGGACTGGCGCACCTTGGACGGTGGTCGAGCTGATGTCGGTTTGATTAGCAGCCAAGTGAAGACCACCAGGCACGAAGCGACCATGACCAATTTGCGTTCTGGCACTCCGATCAAAGGTCGATGCATGGTTATTAAACGTCCATCCGAAATGGAAGAAAAAGCGATGGAGAGCAAAGATGTGGATAAAAACCTACCAATTACTTACTATTCCGATTTCTTCTTCTTCGATGTGGAACCGCATGATCCAGCATCCAAACAAGTAGAGAAACAATGCCGATCTGTAATCGGTTAGTAAATGAAAGGAAAATGTTTGTCATTATTATTATTATTATTATTATTAACATACTATACAGGTTTAATGCATTGAAACGACAAAGTTGCTTACCAAATGCCCGTTTTAAATTCACTTTGGATTCAGTGAGATGTCCTTTACTCAATTAGCTTTGTTAGTCAGGAAACGGTATTTCGATTAAATATAAGCACAAACGTAGCAGAAATTTAACCGTCATCAAACAATGAACTCAAAATAGATTCAAGTTCACGTATCACTGAAGATCCGTCACGTTGTGAAAATTGTACCTGCTCCGCAGAATTACTTTATTTACTCTGTCCCTCAGAAGCACTCATTTGCTGTGTCACTGTTTCCCGTTCTCTGCTTCTCTCGAACCCCAGCCCTGGGGAACTTTTCTCTTTCCCTGTCACTCAGTGTGTGTTCCAAACGTAAAAAGCAATTTTATATTTATTCACGCTCGGTTCCGGGCTTGTTACTCTGGTTAAACAACAACACGAACAAGAATAACAACAGCAACAACAACAAATCTGTGTCACGTCAGTTTATTTTACATCGGTTCGACCAATGTTTTGTTGCCGACACCGGACACATTCTCATCACCCCATGGAAGAGTATTAATTCACAAGTTCTCACTCACCCACTCTCGCTCCCTCGCTCTTCGTATGCGTGAGCGTAGGCGTTCAGCAACATTTTTGTTTTTTATACTCAGGTGATGGGTAAAACTCTCCAACACTGTTGCTATTTTTAGTTTTTCTATTCACTCAATGAGGAGCTCGATGGGAATTATCGATTTTCTTTCTTTCCTTACTGTAGCCACTGATGAAAAGATCATTGTGACGCTGAATGAGGCGATTGACGAGGAACTCAGTTTGAAGGCCAACGAAGATGCGGAGATCACAGCAAGCGTCAAAGGTAAAAAAAACACTTCATTAAATCCGACTGACTTTTATTCAGACGTTTTGGATAGTTTGTTACACCGACATTTTTATTTCCTCTCTTTCCAGACGCAGATGGCAATCCAGTCGAGCCGAAAGGTTTCAGCTTTGAAATCTCTTATTTGTCTGGTCAAGTGGCTCATGTCGGTGAAATTTCTGAATCGTTTGCATTTGACCAACGGACGGGAGTTCTGAAATTATCCAAAGTCCAATACCCGACCAAACCAATCAAACTACGATTCTCCGTCCTGATGCCCGCTGCAGAATCGACCGATTCAGATTTCGGGACCGGTTGCTCACCTCTTATCTATCGATCAGACTATGCGTCCGTCAACGTGCAGGCCTCTGAAGATGCAACTAAACCAAAGTGGACGGAGCGCGGTGTTCCAGTGTATGATGGTGAGTGAGGTGTTACTTTTCCTTTTGTATCCTCTACTCATAAAGCACCGGAATGACTTCTTTCATCACAGCACAGAAACAAATAAACTTTTGCCCTTCGGGATTAACGACTAAACTATTTTACTGATATATCGAAATTCCCCTAGTAACGCATGACACGAATATCACTGAAAATACCCCCTTCCACCCAATTAAAGCAGCGGTCTCAGTAAGCTCAATATTTGAAGTTCATCGATGTTACTCAAATCGCATAAATTTTCAGTTAATACCATGAAGAAGATGGGGAAATGTTTGATCGATAAATCTAGTTTTCATTTTATGAATTGCGTATACGTTTAGGGAGCCGAAGTTATCAGCTTGTGTAGACCAATAATGCTCCCGAACAGGTGTTCTTGTTCCCAGATTACTGCTTGGTTCGAGCCCGCTTAACTATATAAGCCTCCTGCCAAACCAGTGGATTCCCATTTGAAATTTCTCATGTGCTTAAAATTGCACTGATCACGCCACAATGAACTTTACTTAACTTGAACATTCTGTCCCACTTTTCTAACTGTTTGTTTTCAACTAAAGTTAATCAGAAAGCATACAAAGTACGAATCAATGGTCTGGATGACAAAGGCAACGCTTTGGGCACACCAAAAGAACCGATGGAGTTGGAGTGTACAGTGTTTGGTGAGTGAAAATCTGTCCATGATATACGTATTGTTGTTTACTGAGGTTGAGCTGAACATAAACTCCGTCTCCGAAATGTAGACATGCACAAGCACGTGGACAAGTAACTAGGATATGAGAAATTAGGGTTCTGACAAATAAAATAAAACAAATTCGGCTGAACCGGACTTTCATTACAGTTTCACTGGAAACCCCTTTTGCATCCAACAGCGATCATGGATTCACATGCTTTCAAAACGGATAAAAAGCTTTATTTTTTTTGTTCGCCGAGCTGAGCAATTAGAACAACTGATCATCAGATTATTCAACCGGAGCTAAAAAAACAATAGTCAACACCGTGCTTACACTCCGTTCGAATGCGAACAAGCTAACTCATTTTTAGAGTAGCAAGCTTGGATTAGCCCATTCGATTATCAAGAGGCACCAGGCGCCCAGTCGTCACTCACATATGTAAGAAGGTGTCGACTGAAGCTGGGAAAAAGTTTGGCATAATTCAATCATACCTTATTAAGGTTTGTTCTGAGTACTGAAGATAAGATCCATGGACTGATACCTAATAGATACATGAAAAAACATTGTTCCGCTGGGGCTATTTTATTATTCAGTTAATAAATGTGATAATGCAAACTGCCAATGCTTTTCTGTTTTGACGTAAGTCATAAACGGTTGAATTTTATTTGCAAATCACTGCTGATCTTTACAGCAAATCATCTCTATTTGGGCCTCTGTTTGCTTTAACCCATTTTGTATATTTTTGTGCATGACAGACAAATACGACATGGAAGCTGAATTCCCAGTGAATGCGTACACATGGCAATTGATTGACGCAGAAGATCAGCCGGCCAACCCAGGCACACTGGCCGATGAGGTTGAAATTGTGGGCGGAAAGAAGCTGAAGTTGACCAATTATCGTCCATCTGCCGAACATGACGGCATTCGCGGTCGTTGTTTGATCAGTGTTTCCGTTCCCATGCCGGTCGATGCGGATATTCATCCGGATATGCCACCAGCACAACAGTATGCATCACCCTATTTTGAGTTCAAGACCAAACCGAAAGAAGGTGCAATTGAACCTGGTGTGACTGATGAAACACGTGGAGAAGAAACTGCTGAAGGTCGCGAGACAACCCCCAGTTCTGAAAGGGAGACTGCGACTGAGGGAGGAGAAACTTTACCCGATGGGGAAGAGGAACCTGCCGGTAAGCTAGTTTTGATCGACCATCATAACGATTGAGGAAGTTACTTTGCATATGTTTACCACAGACGTTGCCTCTATGAGGCATCGTGTCCGAGGAACCTATGAGTGCTAAAAGCAATTGATGATAATTATCAGCATGCAAGTTTTTGAACGCGAGGCCCATAATGTTATCTTCTGTATTTCTTTATCTAAAGATGCGTGAGAAGTAAATATCGTTCCCTGAAATGCATTTCACACTTCGTCATTCATCTTTTCAGCAAAACCGGAGTTCACACTTCAGCTGGATTCTCCGATTAGCGAGGTCTACAAAACACATGAAAACCTGTATACTGTTTTGGCTCGAGTTCAGCGTCCGTTCGAGGTATGTACAGATCTGTAGGTGACCTGATTTAATAAGTCGATAAATGATCTCTAATTTATTGCATAGTAAAATTGGAAAACGCTGAACAGGTCATATACCATAAAAATGGAAGTGAAAATTGTACTTTGGTTTCTGTGAGGGCTGTTACACCAAATTTAATGGTCTTTGTTGATGCTGGTGTGTTATCCAAGCTGGAAGTGTTGTTTGCAGATGTTGTGTAACCAAGCTAGGCAATATAATCAATGCAACTTTGAGCAGCGCCAGTCCTCAGTGTCATCGGGCCCATATAAAATATTAATTTTACTAAATGTCATGTATTTTTAGGGGTAAACAATTATTACTCAGTAAAATGTTACAAGCATCAGGTATATTCCTGCTTTATGATTTCATCTATTGTGTAATAGTTAATTATCTTTCAAGAGGAAGAACGTTTGTCTTTTTTTATCATTCTAACACAGTAAATTCGGTTGGTGATAACGTTGTGGTCTCCTCTATCTTCAAATAATTTTACACATATTTGTGGCTCTGATTTAAGGTAAAAGGTTTACACGCTACTTAAGACGCATTAGAAATAACTGAGTGACTAGATTTTAGTAAGTTGTCCTCACTTGCTCGCGTCTATTCTGTCGTTGCCATTCCGTTCTCGTAAATGAAGCCCCGCTCTATGTACCATCCCACTGTCACTTGCTTTTATCCTAGCTTAACTGTCGAGCGATCTTCAACGAGGGTGCTGCCGGGCCTCGGTCAAGTAGTGGGGAAGCCTTACCCAAATTAGTGTGGTACTACCGACAACCGGAAATCCCAGGTGATGTGCCAATCCCCTCTCAATTGTTTGCAGTTAGTCCACCGAGAATGGAAACGTTGAATATCGGTGCACAAACAGATTACAAAATCAGCGTTGAAACGGATGCTTACTCGTTCCGTGACGACCGGGCTGAATTTCATTGCAATGCCTACTTGGAATCCGATGAGAAACCTGTAGTCTCAAAGGTTGTGTACATACAAAGTGAGTTATTAGATTGATGACCTGAATTATGCCTTTACTTAATGATACATTGCAAATGATGGATTGGTCTATCACAGCTTATTGGAAACGTCTTCTAAGCAGTATCATTGCATCAATGTGTTACAGCAATACTACATTCATTTTTTCGAAACACTGCAGGAGATGAAACTAATTTGATTGGTCATTGGTGCTTTTCACGTATCTCACAATCACAGGAGGCAGCAAAGAACCGTTAAATAAGAGGAATGAGAATGGGAACACTTTACAATTAATTTCGTTTGACCCACATTCCGTTCTCCCAGCTAAGCGGCTTTGATGCACACAAAACTAGGGGACTGAAACTCATCGCGATTAACTAACTGCACTAAAGGTGAGTGTCCGTAAGTACAGCGCATGTGTTACCTACTCGTCGTGATTTAAAACTGTGCTGAAAATAGGAATACGAGTGTGTAAGATTTCAGGAGAGTGGCAAAGTTGCTGAGGCTGGTATATGTAAGTCCATTGAAAAATCACTAGAATCCAGCATCCCGAATCCCGTCCACACTCATATAAACACTTAAAATTTGTGTTTATATATCAACTTGATTTGTGTCATTCTTGGAAGTTTATTGACGTAAATCTCATATCCTAATTCAGACTGAATTAGTTTTTCAACTAAATGAAGCGAACTGCAAAGTTAAATGTACAAATCTCTGGTAACTCTCTCTCTCTTTCTCTCTCTCACTCTCTCTATATATATGTAGTTCTTTCAATATTACGGAGTAGTGAGTAGTCTGTAGCCAAATAACTCATTTGCTTATTTGATCTCTAAAACTGTCATTAACTGGTTTGTTTACTGTGCACTGAGTGAAAACAGATAAGTGTTTTGGAGTACGTGTCTTTAACTAAATAAACACTCGCAGAACAAGAATCATTTATCAGAAAGAATGAATTTACATGCTGCTTTGTATAGATTATTTTCCAAATCTCAGCTGTAACGTTTGAACTACTACAAATTTTATCACGACACTCAAGGTCGCACCAAATCAAAC